TACTTGAAATATTTTCCCTCTGGGGTGGTGAGGATTAAAACGACTCTGCTACCTTCTTTTCGGAATGAACTGTCAACGTTAAGGGTCCAAGAATGGTGATTGGTTGTCTCAAGAATGGCTTGTGGTTATGGAGGGAGAATGTGCGGGGTAAGATTGGTGAATTCCAAGATGAAGTCGGTAATGGCTTGGCCTTTGATGGCTGTTCGAGGTCAGTAGGAGATCTTGTACTGGCTTAATTCAACAGACCATAGCATGAGTCTTCCTGATGACTTTATTTGTTGCAAAATTTTCTTTAAAGGTTGGTCGATGAGGACTACAATGGAATTGGCTTAGAAATAGAGTCAGAGGCGTCGGGAGGTGATGACCAGAGCCAGAGCCAGAGCCACCTTCTCTAATAAGGGATAGTGTTGTTCGGCCTCCCAGAGTGCTCGGCTGATGTAGTAAATCAGGTGTTGGACCAAGTCTTCCTCTCTAATTAGGGTAGCACTGACCATGGTGTTGGAAACAGCAAGGTAGAGGAAAAGGGTCTCCTCTGGGACTGCTTGGGAGAGTAGGGGAGGGTTCGCCATGTATTGTTTTAGTTGTTGGAATGCCTCCTCGGACTTCATGTTCTAGTCGAAGGTCGTCCGAAAAACCTTGAAAAACGAAAGGCACTTGTCGGTTGCCCTGGATATGAAGTGATTGAGGGCTACTACTCTGCCCGTGAGGTGCAGAACCTCCTTCATCGTTCGGGGAGATTACATATCTATCAAGGCCTTGATTTTTTTGGGATTGGCTTCAATACCTCTGTGGTTGAGCATGAACCCCAAAAACTTACTAGACCCAACACCAAAGGTGCAATTTTCTGGATTGAGCTTCATCTTATACTTGCGCAAGGCCTAGAACATTTCCCACAGGTCAATTAGGTGATTTAAGGAGAGTTTACTTTTGACAAGCATGTCATCAACGTAGACCTCCATATTCCTACCTATCTGGTTTTTGAAAATAGTATTAACTAGCTGTTGGTAGATGGCCCTAACATTCTTCAAACTGAAAGGCATCACACGGTAATGATAAATCCCTCTATCAGTAATGAAAGAGGTGTGCTCCTGATCATCTGCGTGCATTAAAATCTGGTTATAGCCTCAGAACGCATCCATGAAACTAAGCATCTCGTGTCCTGCTGTTACGTCGACCAATAAATCTATTATGGGTAGGGGATAGCTATCTTTAGGGTAAGCTCGATTAAGGTCGGAGTAGTTGACGCAAAGTCTCCATTTGCTGTTACTTTTTCAAACCAATACCGCATTGGATAACCACTTGGGATAGTCCACGTTTTTAACGAATGGGGCGTTTGACAACTTGTCTACCTTAGCGGCGATGAGATTGTTGCGCTCTGGATGGAAAATACGCTGCTTTTGGCAGAACGGTCGGAATTGAGATTCGATGCAGAGGCGATGAGTAATGCAAGAAGGACCAATGTCTGGCATGTCTAAATGAGTCCAAGCAAAGACATCGTTGTGCTCGGTTAGGAGAGCCATGAGATCGACCTTGGGTTGAGGAGACAGTTGGCTACCAATCTTAGCTGTCTTCGTTGGATCGTTAGAGTTGATGGGCACTTCTATTAACTCTTTCACTGGTTCTCCTCTGATTAATTCCTCTTCATCCCTGGTGTCAAGACCTTCTATGATCGTAGTTTCTTTCATTTTTACTTCTTTTAACGAAGTGACGTAACATTCTCTAGCCATGGTCTGCTCGCCCTTTACGGTGCGACCCCATGATCGATCGAAAATTTTATTACCAGGTGGTAAGTGGACGTTGTAAGCAGAGGGGCAGTCGACAACTAGAAAGGTGAGAATCTTCATAGTCTGCCTTAGGTGCTCGCTGATAGTGATTGGTAGGTCGATGGACCCCATAGAGATTACCCGATCTTCGGTGAAGCCAACTAAGTGTGTTTATAGAGGTGGTAACTTTTCTTCGTTGATCTAGAGCTACTTGAAAGCATTGAGGAAGATAATGTCTGATGAGTTGCCAGTGTCGATGAGCACATGTCAAACTTTGTAGTTGGAAAGGAGAGAGGAAATGACCAACGGGTCATCATGGGGTATCGGACACCTTCGAAATCTGTATCTATGAAGGTAATCAGTTCCGACCACCACTTGGGCTGCTTGGGAGGTCGCTCAACCATTGTTACTTTCTTGTCAGACCCTTGTCTATTTCGTTGGAGCTCAGCCCACTGTGCCGACCAAGATGGTCCGCCGCACGCGAGTCCCCGAGCAATGACCCTGATTTCTCTAGTTAGGGGAGTGGGGCTCTTGAAGCTTGAGGTTTGTTGTTGGGCTCTATCACCATCCCACCGGGGTTGGTCAGCCGGTCTTGGTGGGGTGCGTTTGTCATTCTGCTTTGGGGGGTCAGTCCTGGCCCTTTGGTGAGGTCGGGGTGCGGTGAACCAAGTTAAGCATCCTTGATGGACAAGGTCCTCGACTTGATCCTTGAGATTGATGCATTTGTCCGGGTTACGACCATGGTCGCAGTGGAAACAACAGTATTTGGATTGATCCCGTCGGTTGGAAGGAAACTTGGAAGGTTGGGGCCATTTCAAGTTATAATCTTGTTGGATTTGGTTTAAGATGTGCTCCATTGGCGTGTTAAGAGGGTATACTGCTCAAAGTGATCGGGCAGTCGGGAAGGAGCTGCTCGGTCAGAGCGTAGAGGTCGGGATGAGTGTATTGGGAATGTCTAGGTTCCGACTCTTTTCTCTTGTCTTTGGATTGTAAGGATTTAGGTGCAGAGTCTTGGCGAACTGCCAAAAAGTCCTCGACGTTCATGTATTTCTGGGCTTTGGTAAGAAGGGTGGCCATGGTCGCTAGAGGGTTTTTGGAGAAGGAGAAGAGGAAATTTGATGGGCGTAGACCGGCCATGAAGGCTGTTAAGATGACCTTATCATCATTCTCCTCAACCTGGAGGGCTTCTAAATTAAAGCGAGTGACAAAGCTACATAACAATTCCCCGTTGATTTTTCTAATATTTAGCAGCTGAGTCGCCAGATGTCGTTAACGCTGAGCGCTAATGAAATGACTTAGGAAGGAATCACTTAGCTGTTAAAAAATGGTGACAGAGTCTAGTGGTAGCTGACTAAACCATAGTTGTGTCAACCCCTTGAGTGTCACGGGAAAAACACGACACATGATTTCGTTAGGGAAAGCATGGAGAATCATGAGGGTTCTGTAAGCTTCCAGATGGTCGACTGGATCAGTTCTGCCGTCGAAGGTGTTGATTGACAGCATGTTGAACTTGGAGGGCAAGGGTATGTCCCTGATGGACGCGGCAAATGGGGAGTTAGCTGTTATGGAAGGTTTGTTCTATATGTTCTGCATGACCCCCTGAAGTTGGAGATTCATGGCTCGCAGTTTTGCGTCCCAAATAGGAACATTGTCTCCTCTAGAGGGAAATGGGATTTGAACATTGCTAGCCTTACCTTTAGGGATTGGAGGGTGGTGTGATGGATGTGAGCCTTGAGGTGGAGGGGTGCAAGTCTTGAGGTGGGGGCTATAGACCCTCCAAATTTGACAAGTGAGCTTGTGAGATGAAAGGTAGATGAAAAGGTCTTCGTGGAGCATGTGGTTGGAATGGATGGCTTGGGGTTTGTTCTTGATTTGGAGGGATGTCTTGTGGTAGTGGAAGAGGGACAGGGAGATCCCGTTGAAGCAAGGCATTGATCAAAGCCTGGTTTTGCTCGGTCAAACGGTTGATGCTGTAGGTGAGTTCTACGAAATATGCAGGTGAGTTATTTGGGTTGGAGGGCTTAGCTTTAGGGTTACCAGCATTGTGTTGTGAAGCCATGAACCTAGTCGTGACCATCTACCTTGACGTAGGAGATCGGTGATACCGGAGTTCCCTCTGGTGACAATGAACACAATTGTCGACCAGTGATGAGTTCCCACAGACGGCGCCAACTGATAATGCAATAACTTCAATGGAGCATGGGTCGGACTGATCCACTCTTCCAATGGGTCTTCTGACCTTGATGTCCACAAAGGGTGCCTACAAAAAGGTCTAGAGGGGAAGATCGTCCCAGACGGACACTCCGACGATCAAGTTAGGTTAGGGTAGATTGATTTAGAAAGAGAGAGAGAGAGAAGTAAAGAGGATACAAAACTTAACCTCTAACGTATCTTCAAGGCTTCCTTATCTCCTTTTATTATCATTTCTTTGTCCATTCTAAGTTGTCTTGTTGGCTGAAAGTCTATGGCCTAGTTAACATCGTTCATGGTGATTCTACATACTCCGGCGTAAGGGGTCTTTCTGCATTTAATGCTCCAGTGGCCTCATTAAATGGCTAATGTATGGATGCAATAACTTTACAGGATCTTTGTCGGCCCACGTGGTTAATTCCCTACCTGACAAGTGTTTGAATGCTATTGGTTCTGGATCAGCATTGGCTTCTCAAAGTTACTGGGCTTACTAGGCTTTAACACCTGGGCCGTGAGCTGGGCCCTGAGTCGTGGGCTGAGCCCCCTTGGGTGCCCGTCAATATCACTCGCATTTTCTGTAAGCCATTTTTTCTACTTATTTTTAAAACTTGAAAGAATTTTTATAATTTTACTGTATTATTCTACCATACTTTCACAAATTCTCTATTTTTAATTAATATTATTTGTAGTTGTTTATATCACATTTTTATCAACAAAGAAAAAAAAATTCGAATACAACCCGTGCAAAGAATGGGTAAAAAACTAGTTAAAACTGAATTGTCCTAAAACTTACACCATTAAAATTATCATAAATGAGATGATCTGAGTTAAGCTCAAATTTAAAACTATATTGAAAATCACATATATTAGATAAAACAATGTCCGAAAAGAATAAAATTGTGAAATCAAAGGTCTAAACATTGGATCCGACAAATTTCATGACATTTCGAGCATGAGCTGTTTTGCCTCTACTCATGCCTCTTGCCTTTGCGTTGCTTGTTGGGAGTTCTATAAACTCTATGGTCAAACAATTTGCATTACCTTCAAAAAAAAAAATGGCAGCAAAGACTTTATTTATTAGCAAATACTTTATTGATGGAGATAACAAGGTACAAGGGAACACAACATATCTCACAATTAATACCACATATTTAACAATTATTACCACATATCTTACAAATAAGACCACATATTTCATAACCAACACCATTTTGACTCGTAACCGACTACTGAGAAGCCATAAAATGGGAGTAGTAAGTAATTCTGGCAGAATAATCCTCAACGAAGGAAACTACGGATGAATTGTGTGATTGACATGCCAAAGGCGATGAAGGCAACCAAGAAAGCTATGAATGTCCATGGATATGTGAAATATGTACGCATCAGATACGCCAAAGATTTAGGCCAACAACGCTTGCTGTAGCTAGCAGCCTGATTGCAAGTTTGAGCGAAATAGAAATTATCCCGAGGCAGAACAATTTCCTTGCAGAGACTGTTGAACAGATCAGAGGCCTTTTCTCTTTCGCCGAGACAACTACGTATGACTCCAGCCTTTTGAAGCACTTTCACGTCATTCTTATTGTCTACGAGTCTATCCATGAGGGTAGCATACGATGTGAAGTAAAAATCAAGACGATCATGGCCAGTGTTACGATCAAGACCAGTGTAACACTGCTCGAAAGCAATGAGGTTTCTCAGGAGTGTTTCTGTAGTGGCACTAATTCGCAGAGTTGGGATTTTGAAAGAAGCTCTATGGCAGAACCAGAAAAGGCCTTGTGGGTCATCAAATTGGACCATGAACAGGGGGTCTCTATCACCGGTTTTAGTACCGACTTCAAACTTGACTCCTGCATACTCGAGTTCTGATGCAGGAGGCATGGAATCATAATTATTAACATCGGTTTTTGCTGAATCTTGTTGTTCTGGTCTACCTTCTTGTTGACGGTATTGATCGTATAGAAAGTGGAGGATATGACTAACTCCCTTACAAATCTTCGGTTTCCAGTCATTCTTGCCGCCTTGTTCTGAGGGATTCATCATGTTGCCAAAGTATGAGAGGAGATAGTGACTAAGACTAGGCAGATGATTCGGAATAGTAGCCACCGTGAGGTCAAACAAGTCCTCGAGAACGAAGAAGGGAAGCTGGTTCTCCAATAGCAACAAGTCATGTTTAATTGCGACGCGAGTCAGAGCGCTGTCGAAACAGAAATCTCGACTTGTTTTCTTATTAGGATTTAGGTTGTTGCTGGTTTCGATCATTTCGGTATGATGAGGCTCTTCGTGAGGTTTGGAATTTGGGTTGCTGCTGGTATGATGAGGATTTTTGCCGAGAAAAAATTGAATACAACCATCATAACAATGATATGGTGTCTCATCATCAGAGTTCCTTGGTTTGTATGTATGGTGATACCTGCAGTGACGGCTCCAGAAATATTCATGAGGTAGTTGTTGAAGAATTTGCAGAAGAAATCAAACTTGTTTGTTGGTACAAATAGATTATTTTAGTATAAAAAATTATATTTAAATAAAATGGAGTAATATAAACCAAAAATAAGTTAATTCTGAATAAAAAATGTAAGGAAAGAGGTAGAAGATGGGTGGAAAAGTTCTGAGCATCAGCATGTGTAGAATTTTACAAATAAAGAATTATTTCTGTTGTTGAGTCTGTCGTGAACTTCTATTTATTTGGGGTAGTGTTTGGATGTACAAATTTTTATAATTTAAAATTATTTTGAATTTATTTGGTTTGTTTCTTAGGAAATTTTTTTTAATTTAATTAATTTATTTATTTTGAGATTTGCACCTCTAATACCACCTATAATGATGTAACTCGCTCCTATGTGAAGTGATCCTACATTTTGAAGAGAATTGATTAGTTGTTATGGCGGTGTTTGAGAACAAAATTTTTGGGTTTTTTTTTTTTTGTTTTTTTCACTAAAAGACAAATTAGTTACAAAATCAAAAAAAAATCAATCCAAACAAAATATCACATCAAATTCCATAATTATTTCATTTTTTCTCTCGCAAACATCACATTCAACCACAAAAAAATCCAACTATCTTTCCAAACACAAAAAAAAATTTCCCAATAATATCTTACAACTAAAAAAATCTACAAAAAAAATCTACTTTCCAAACACCCACATTATTTACCACATCATTAGAGTTATAATTAGGGGTGATGAATTAGGTGAGGAAACATTTCCTTTTTAAAAATAAAATAAAATAAAAACTAATTTGATATAATTTTTTTAAAATTTTAAAATTTATTTCTGATCTCCCAAAATATAAATTTATATAAAAATGATAAGTGCTTTTAATTTTTTTTTATTAAATTAATTTTTAATTTAAAAAATTAAAATAAAATTTTAAAAACAAACCAAGCATAACTTTTAAATTTTTTAATATCACATATAATATTTTTAAAATTTTTTATGGTGCGGTCACCTCCACTCCTCAATCCATACATAATTATATTCACTACTAAATAATATAATAAAATCTCTCCATAATTGTATTCACTACTAAATATTCAAAATTTGTAAATACTATGCAAGGAGAAGATCACTAAACATTCAAAATCTGTAAATACCTGTAGAGAAGTTCGAGTATGAAACAAGCATCGATGACCAACACGGTTACATCCAGGGCATCGACTTTCTTTGGAAAGCATTCCTTGGCTGTAATGTCTAACAACTCTTTCATTTTCTCCACATCCTCCAGGGCATCAACTTCTACTTTCTCTGCATAGCAATCCCTGACTCTGTCTAACGACAGTTTCATGTTCTTTACACATTTCTCTAGCTCCAGGATAATATTCATTTTATCATTGGCCTGCTTCATTCGCCTAAACAGGACACTGGCGTAGTACTTCTTAATGTCCTCCATGGGTGATTTAAGATGTTCTTTGTTGCTGTGAAGAAGTCCGATTGAGACGAGTTGTGGAGTGTAGGCACTTTCCTTCACCTTGCGAAGCTCCTCCGGGACCCTGAAAATACATGGAGATGGCATGGATTTGGTCTTGTTTTCACCTTCTTTGATTATATCAAAGATGGTTTTTGTAAGGTTTGAACAATCGTCACTCCCTTCCATCAGGGTAGCTACGGGGGTAGGAGGGAACTGATACGGTTATGTTAGATAGTTCTTTGGGAGAAAACGGTTTAGGATTTATGAGGTTGTTCAGCATATAAATATAGAGAGAGAGAGAGAGAGAGAGAGAGAGAAGGCCCAACATCTCTAAGAAGTTGTTTGTTTTCGGAGGTAAGTTGGATGGGTTTGTTAGCGTGATCATGGTTAGTGAGAAGATTATTAGTACGAGAATTAGTAGTGAGTGATTAAGGAAAGTTATATTTGTTTGTGATACTATATAAAATATTATAAATATTCTTAAGTGTTTTTGATATATTTTAATATTAAAAAATTATATTTTATAAATAGTTTTTTATTCATCTTGCTTGTTTTCACTTTTTAAAAAAAACTTTTCAGAAAATTCTACTTTTTTATTTTTCGTGTTTTTTTGTTTTTACTGAATTTTTTTAATATTTTAAGTATTTTTTTTTTACTTTTTAGACACACTTAACATAAATACACTTAAAAAGTAAAAAAAATTGTAAAAAAAATCTTTTAAAAATTCACTAAATACCAAAAATACAAGACTTCAGTATATTTTTTGTATTTTTATATATTTATTAATTTTTTTAACATATTTTTTCACAAATTTTTTACTTTTTAGATACATCTAAGTAAGGTGCATCTAAAAATGTTTAAAATTTAAAAAATATTCACTAAAAACAAAAAAAAATACGAAAACCTAAAAAATTAATTTTCAAAAACTTAATCTAGAAAATTCAAACCAAACACACTGATTATTTCCATATATATATAATGACATAATTACCCCCCGCCACACACACACACACAAAAATCATAAATAATTATTTCCATATATATATAATGACATAATTACCCCCGCCACACACACACACACAAATCACAAATACACAATATATGACATCACACACACACACACAAATCACGAATACACAATATAGGACATGGACAAAATATTTTTTTTCAACCTAATCTCCTCACTAGTTTTGAGTCTCACGTCTATTTTTGTTCAATCCCCTCCTTTATTGTCCAAAACAAATGGGCCTAAGGACTTTTTAAATCAGACTTATTAGTCATTCCAATGAGCTATTTATTATAATAGTTATTTCGGTAAAATTTTATAAGATTAGTTATATTTGAAGAGTTTTGAAAGATTGTTTAAGTGATTTGTGTGTATATATAAGTAAAATAAAAAGCAACTTTTGAGTACATAAATAAAAAATATACTTTTATATTTAACTAGTAAAAAAATGCAGAGTATGATTAAAATTACTTTAATACTATGAATTCATATATTTTACTCACAAAATATCCCAAAACATCAATATGTAATTTAAATTTATTTTAAAATAGACCTTATAATACATTATTGACACAAATATGGAAATGGACGGCTAGTCCTAGACTTAATCTTTATCTATATTGTTTTTTGTTCCCACGTGAAATGAAAAAAAAGAAGGTGATATGAACAATGAAGAATTGTAAATAAGTGGAGAATTGAAAATAAGTATACAAAAAATCTTATGTTGCACCACAAATTAATATAATAAAATGTTCAAAATTTTATAATTAATATTGCAAAAACTTGTGATTTGTGGTTTGATGTTGCAAATTGCTGGGTTATTAATTAAAATATATTTATGGTATTATTAAAAATTATTAACTGATTTAATAATTTAGAAAAATGATTTATTTACTGAAATTTGCTTGAATCGCTTAAATTTGTGCATGCCGCTCGACTGTCCAAACGACCGGTGCAATCCTTGTCAATCGTGACTGTCACTCTTATTGTCGGATGACTAGCTAGACGACCGATCGGATGCTTGGCCAGATGACTGGCATGCACAAGTTCAAGCAAGTCAAAATTTCATGAATGTAGCATTGCTAGATAATTTATTATAAAAAAAAGTCATTTCATTTGATATGAAATTATAAATTTCAAGAGGCAAAATATAACTTTTAAAATTACAAAGAATAATTATATTTTAAACAAATTTAAAAGAGTATATTTGTAATTTGTCTTTCAAATAACAAATATCCAACAAATATTGTGCCATGTCATAGGATATAAAACTGTGGTATTAAATAATTTTGACCTATTTTAAGAAGTAAGTTAAAAGTTAATTTTTAAATTTTTAAATTTTTTTTAAAAGAATATATAACAGTAAAGAAATAATAAAAAAATTAAAAAACTAATTTTTAAATCAATTATCAAAATAGGCCTTTATCAAAGTTTTGGTAGTTTGGATTGTTGCTTACACGTGAATCACTTCACTAACTGCCAAAATCCGAGGGACCCGCAAGCAAAATGAAAGTGGAGTGACCCCCTGATGCACCAAGGATCTAGAGTAGAATTTTCTTAAAATTTTTTAGAGTTTTATATTGTGTGGTTGAGATTTATTGGCAAGTTACATCAGAAAATTTGATGTGACTTGCCAATAAATCTCAACCACACAATGTAACACTCTAGGAAATTTTAAGAAAATTCTACTCTAGAGGTTGAGATTTACTGGCAAGTCATATCAGAAAAATTGATGTGACTTGCCAGTAAATCTCAACCACACAATGTAGCACTCTAAGAAATTTTAGAAAAAAATCACTCTAGAGGATCCTTGCTCCCCTGATGGTCCCTTTGGGTTCATAATTGTTGGAATTACATAATTATTGATGACCTAAGAGTGACCGTGACAATAATTTCTCACATTATTTTTTTATTATTTTTTTATTTTTTGGGTTAGGCAGTGCTTACGGTGTTTGGGATTTTTTAATGGTTGAGTGTCGGAGTTAATTTATGAGTATTTTGATTAATTTTAAGATTTGCGTAAAGTATTTTTTCTATATAGGTCAGATAAATATCGAGTAGAATTTACAAGTGTGGCCTTAAGAACTTAATAACACTTAGGGGTTGTTTGAGAGTGTTCTAAATAAGTGCATTTTTTATTTATTTTAGACTAAAAAATTAAAGAAAAAAATATGAATGTTTGGATTAACTTTTTTACTTTTTATGAAAAAATGTGTATTAAAAAATTGTATAAATTAATGTGTATGAGAAAATTAAGATTGAGAGTTGTGCAGCCGTAATTTTTGACTTTTGGTGAATAGTGATAACTTTTTAACTTTTTAAATAACTTTTTGACAACTTGCCAAACTTAACATTAATAAGAGTTGAACCTGAGACCTAAAATTATACCTCAGGCTCTAAGTGACACCCACTAGACCAATTACTTGGAATTTATAGTGTTTGTGATTTGTTTATAGGGAAATAACATATCAGAAGTAATATGTAAAAATTATTATTACAATTTCATGAAAAAATTTATAAAATTATTTTCAATATTATGAAGTTTTCATTAATATGTTATTATTTTTTAATAGATTCAGTTTGATGAGACAAATCAAAGAATTACTTCTTTTTTTTTATAAAGTTCTAAAAAAGTCCAGAAAAGAAAAAGAAAAAAAACCAAAAATAGTTAATTTTTTAGATTCATTTTGGCTTTTTTTTTTAATTTTTTTTAATAGAAAAATTTCAATTATATTATATAATATAGTATATATCTTTAAATTCATTAAAAAAATCATCTTATTATTTTTTAGATTCATTTAGGTTTAGTTCCAATTTTCAGGATTCAATTTTTTGAAAATTGAGTTTTTTATTTTATGTATTTTTATTTATTTTTTTTGTTTTTAAAGAATTATTTTAATATTTTAAGTAAATTTTTTACATTTTAGATACACCTAACCTAGATATACCTAAAAAGTAAAATATTTATAAAAAAATATTTTAAAAAATCAATAAATATATATGAATACAAAAATGTATTGAATTTCAGTATTTTTTAAAAAAATATTTTTGGTATTTAGTGAATTTTTTTTTTAAAAAATCACAAATATTATACTTTTTGTATTTATATTAAGTGTAGCTAAAAAGTTATAAAAAAAAAAGGCGTAAAAGAGTAAAAAAAAATTAACTAAAAACAAAATTGCAGAAAAAAAAAAAAAAAAAAAAAAAAAAAAAAAAACCTGAAAATTGGAACCAGCCAGTGACTTACATAAAAAAACCATTTCCCAAACAGCCAATTTAAGAGGTGTAGTACGCAACTTTTCTTTCTTAAAAACCTACACTGAGAATTAAAATTAATGTGAAAAAATTAAATTAAAAGTAAAACAAGAATTTTTATGTGATTCCCTCAATGTGAGGTACGTCCCCGAGATCGAAATCCGATTCCACTATCAACCAAATAAGTTTCCAAACGATTACAAACGAGACACGAATGGTCTCACAAACCACCGTTAGGTGAATTTCAAATAATCACAAATAAACAAGAGAAAAAATCTCACCAAATAGATGAACAAAAATCTTCCGAAACAGAATTGTAGAAGACGCAAAATAATAATCCAAACTAGTGCCACCAAATACCAGCCGAAGAAGAACAAAACAAAAAGCTGTCGTAGCCTTTTTCCGAAGAACTTCAGCAACAAAACAAAGCTCCAATCCACCTAAAAAATGATCAATTAGCTGCTGCCATTTCATACTGCATAGGAGCAAACCTAAACAATATATATATATATATATTGTTTGTTGATTAAGGGGCTTTTCTATCAAAACCTTAGTTGTATCTAAATTGAATTGGATTTCCACAAATTAGATATAATATATAAAAATATATTATAACTAATACCAAACCAAATTAAACTTTTTTAATAAATCAATTGGGTCCCACACTCCAATAAGGAGGTATACCCAACAATTCTCCCCCTACTGACTTAGGTGGAGACATCAACCATATCCGCCAAAGTTCAACACTTCAAATGTTTATCCCTCGACAAAGTCTTAGTCAACATATCCGAAATATTATCATCCGTGTGAACTTTTTCGAGTTGTAACAGTTTCGAATCTAACACATCACGAATCCAATGGTATCTCACATCAATGTATTTCGATCTCGAATGAAAAGTAGAATTTTTACTCAAATGAATAACACTTTGACTATCACAATAAAGCACATACTTTTCTTGCTTTAAACCCAACTCTTGCAAAAATTCTTCAACCATAACTCTTCTTTGCAAGCTTCCGTAATGGCAATAAATTCAGCTTTGGTAGTTGAGAGAGCAACACATTTTTTGTAATTTAGATTGCCATGGCAC